GGAGTACAACTTTGCCATAAAGGATAAGCTTGAGGAGCTGGGGATTTAGCTCAGCAGCACAGCACCTGCCTGGCAAGCGCAAGGTCATGAGTTCGATTCCCGGTACCAGAAAAAACAAAACAAAACAAAACAAAATAATAATAAAAAAAAAAAGGATAAGCTTGAGACATTCCTAGGTAAATGCATGCACCTTGAGACTATACTCTTCAGTGAAATAAATCAGGTATACATGTGTAAACATTGCACTGTTTCTCTAGTGTGAGAAACTGAAAGTATAAGGACCAAAATGTGTATTAGGGAGGCTGGGGATTTAGCTCAGCGGCACAGCACCTACCTGGCAAGCGCAAGGTCATGAGTGTGATTCCCAGTACCGGAAAAAAAAAACAAAAACCAAAAAGAAAAAAAAACACAAAAAAAAAACCAAAATGTATATTAGGTATTGTGAAATAGGAAGAAAATGTTAAAATGGGGAGGAGAACAAAAGAGGGGTAGAGGAGAAGGAAGGAAGGGAAAAGTAAAAAAAATGCAAAGAAAAAAATGGAAACAAAGCTTTTGTAAACAGGGAGGGGACAAGGAGTTGAAGAGAGGCTAGGGGAATAGGGAAAACACAGTCAGGTTATATCATGTACAGGTACAAATTCTCTAGGATGAATGTAATCATTATACATATCTAAAATGTACCAAATCTGATTGGAAAAAAACTGCAGAGCACTTAAAGAAATCACAGACATCAGAAAATGCAAAGACATCCCTTGTTCATGGATTCACAGAACCAGCATTGTCAAAACGGCCATATTACCAAAAGGAATCTGTAGTAATCAATGTAATCCATATTAAAATCCACCAACATTCTTCACAGAACTAGAAAACCATCTTAAAATCATATGGAAACACAAATGACCCAGAATAGCCAAAGCAATCCTAAGCAAAAAGAGCAAGGCTGGAGGAAGCACAATGCCTGCTCTCTAATTATACTAAAAGGCCAGAGTAACAAAAACGGCATGGTTAAAAAAAAAAAAACCCAGCATGGTACTGGCACAAAAACATACAGAGCAATGGAACAGAAAAGAAGACAGAGAAAAGCCATGTACCTACAGCCATCTGATTTTTGACAAAGGACAAGCACACACACTGGAGAAGAAACAGCCTCTTTAGCAAATGCTGCTGGGAAAAATGGATTTCCACAAACAACAGACTGAAAGTAGATCTTTACTTTTTACTCTCAATCAGATCAAAACGTATCAAACACCCTGCTGAAAGACCAGAAACCTTCCAACTGCTAGGAAAAAACAGGGAAAACGCTTCAAGCCACAGGCACAGGTAAAGACTTCCTGAATAGGACTCCAGTAGCACAGGAAATCAAGAATCAAATAATGGGGCGAGGGATTTAGCTCAGCGGCACAGCACCTGCCTGGCCAGCGTGAGGTCCTGAGTTTGATTCCCGGTACCAGAAAAAAAAAAAAAAAAACAACCAAGAATCAACAAATAAGGCTATATAAAATTAAAAACTTCTGCACAGCAAAAGGAACAACTGAGTGAAGGGATGGCTTATAGAACAGGAAAAAAATCTCTGCTAGTTACTCTTCTGATAGAGGATTAATATCCAAAATACATAAAGAACACCAAAAACAAAAACTCAAATCCCAGTTAGTAAATGCGCAAGTGAATTGAACAGAGAATTCTCAAAAGAAACACAAGTGCCCTATATGAAAAAGTGTTCAACATTCCTAGCCATTAAAGAAATGTGAATGTAAATAAACTGAGATTCCACCTCACTCCAGTCCGAATGGCTATCATAAAGAATATAAAACAATTAAAAAAAAAAAAAAAAGGAATTCTGGCAAGGACGACGGGGGAAAAGGAGCTCTTTTCTACTGTTGATGGGACGGTAAACTAATACAACAGCCGTGGGAACCAGCATGGCAATTCCTCAGAAAAGCTAAAGGCAAGTATACCATTTGATCCACACATGTCACTTCCTGGTATCTTCCTGGAAGAATTAGAGACAGTATGCTATAGTGTCACATGCATACCCATCTTTACAGCAGCACAATTCACAATAGCTGAGCTGTGGGAAGAACCCTCAGCAGATGAATGGATAAAGCAAGCATGACATATCAAGAAGAGGGTACCATTCAGTCATACTGAAGAATGAAATCTTGTCATCTGCAGGAAAATGGATGGAACTGGAGACCATCATGTTAAACAAAATAAAGCAGCCTCAGAAAGTTAAAACTTGCATGCTCTTATGTAAAAATCTACACATAAATTAATACAAAACAACGAAAGGACAGGAAATTAGAAAATAGTCTTCTAGTGATAGGGAAAGGAATTAGGGGGAAGGGGGAAGAAAAGCAAAATAACAGGAAGGAAAGTAATCAAAATGATATATGTATATACCATTGTACCATCACAAATCTCATTATTCTGGACTACTAATATGTATTGAATAATAATAACAAATAACTCGGGGGCTGGGGATTTAGCTCAGCAGCAAAGCGCCTGCCTGGCAAGCGCAAGGTCATGAGTTTGGTTCCCGGTACCAGAGAAAAACCAAAAAAAAAAATAAATAACTCCTAAGATAGACGAAGTAACAAGTAGAGGACCTAGAGACAAAAAACTAAAATTTTTCATCAAAATTATTTAGTGTTTGAGGGGTGAGGAGAGAATTCGTACAGAAACACTTTCTGTATGTCAACGATTATTTCACCTTCTGAACTGTACAAAATACCACCCTAATTATGACAATGATCACAAGCGAACATTCGACCATTAAAGCTAGAGTTGAATTTATAAACATAAAATATTAAATCAGTGTGTGATGTCAAAGGATTGTAAAAAGGTAGCTGTTATAGGTTGAGAAAGTTATAAAAAATGGGATAGTTGAGCTAGGAATGTGGAACACGCAATCACAGCTACGTGAGAGTCTGACGCAGGAGGATCCAAATTTGAGGCCAGGGAACTCGGTAGGACTTTCTCTCAGAATTAACATAACAAAACACTTGGTGCTATAGCTCACAGGCAGAAGAACAAGGCCCTGGGTTCAATCCACAGTACAAGTTTTTAAAGGGGAGATTGATAGATAATCAGTAGAGCAGACAAGTAAGCAAACCTCTCAAACTTCCTGCTTTACCTACTTGCATGTACTCACTGAATCATTTTAGAGATATACTCAGTGGCTCACGATTCCTGGACATAGGAAGAAATCATTTAGAAAAGGACTGAGTCATTAACGCATTCCCATTGGCCAGAACCACTGGTGGTACATGCACAACTGTCCCACCGGGAGGCTTCACAACCAGTAGTAAAGTAGCACATTCATGCATGGGACTGTTATGCATGTACCACCAGTGGTTCAAGCCACCCAATAGTGAGACACCAATTATGGCCTCATCATGAATGGTGTTAATGAAGTACAAAACATAATGGCTAGACTTGAGGACGAACTGTTCTTAAACACCACATTTTGCCTTCAATAATTTAATCAAATTACTCCTTTTCAATATACTTTGTGTTCTGGACATAAAAGCCAAGCAATCACTAATTTATTTAAATGAGACACTAATACCCCTAACCCACAAACTATCTACTTACCATGAGCTGAAGTTGTTAAATACTGACCCACATTCAATCCTTTACCCGGCAAGTTAAACATGGTTATAGGGCTTAGCTGCGGAACCCATACCTAGCTCAACTTTTGTACATATAGAACTTTTATACCTTTTTTTTTTTTTTTTTTTTTGAGATAGGGTCTCACTATACACTATGCAGCTGGCCTTGAGCTCACTTTGCAGTCCAGGCTGGCCTGGAACTCCCAACAATCCTTCTGCCTCAGCCTCCCGACTGCTGGGATTACAGGCATGTGCCACCACGCCCGGCCTATACCATTTTCTTGAGACTAGCACCTTAGACTGAGGGGAGCCCCCAAAGTCTCTACCATGTTCAGGCATCTGGTGGATAACAGCACCCTCCAGTCCTTAACAGAACCCTCAAAGCTGCAACAAAACGTCTTTTAGATGATTTCTTCAAGTAACTGAGGCATAAAATAGTTATGAAGTCATTACTGAGGAAGGCATACAGGCTTAAACCACGCAGTATGAGAAGAGTTTATGTCCAGAGGAATGCTACACCCTGGCGGTGCTCACTGTCCTGCACAAGACAGTGTTCCCAATGAGGAAAGACACTGAAGCCTGGGTATCTAAGTAAATGTTATGTGCCAGGCAGTCTTTCAGATAGGTATGTTCTTAGCTGAATTTCATAACCCCCACAACTAGTCTAGACTATTCCCATTTATATGTGGGGAAGCCTGGCATGGTGGCGCACGCCTGTAATCCCAGCACTCAGGAGGCTGAGGCAGGAGGATCGTTGCGAGATGGAGATCAGCCTGGGCTATAAAGTGAGCTCAAGGCCAGCCTGAACTGCAGAGCGAGACCCTGTCTCCAAAAAAAAAAAAAAAAAAGACAAAAAACCAAAAAGAAAATATATGTGGGGAACATCTTTTAAAAAATAACTAAAACAGATCTTAAGGTTACTTAACCAAGATCAGTTTATAAAGTAGCAACTGAGGCTCAACAGCACTGCCTGACCACAAAAACTATATTTTGATAACTTCCTCAATTAAATCAAGGGTACACTAAAAAGCAGAAGTCTTACTGATGGTCAATCGCAGTGTTACCTGTGTGTCGCCTATCGTACCTTGTATTAGTGTACATGCAGTAGGTACCCAACAAGAGCTAACTAAAGGAAGCATATGGCCTGCAAAAAGAAGAACTGCCTCAAGGACAATGTGTGATTTGGCCCCTGGAAAACATCTTGTAATGAATGAGATGCATCAGAGAAAAGTGACCCTAAAAGGAACTGTTACATACAAAACTCTTATTTTAAAGTAATAGCATGAACTGATGAATAAAAAGCTATTCAAGAGTTATCACTAATAAATTCTAAAACTAAAACTCTGGCATCCTACCCCTCAACTAAATGTTCAATCAAATGGGAACAAATAAAGGTGCAGGTAACTTTTTTATTGAGGCACAACAAGGCATTATAACTCGCCTGAACTTGAGGCAGTCAGTTTAGTAAGCTGAACATTAATACAGTAAAGGATTAAGTGCAAACAATATACATTCACAGCTTGACTAGCGAGGCTACATCACAATTTATAAAGTGCCAGATTAGTGCTAATTGTCATTCAGCTTGAAAATTTTCACCTGGGGAGGAAAACAAAACAGTGAGGACTTCCTCCTTCCTCTAGAACGAATACATTTTCCTAAGCCATTGGTCACCAGGTCAAGAACCACTTTTCCTTCAGTCCTACTAATTTGAACACCATCCTTTTACTGTCAATTCTGCACTGACTTTCAATCTTGATAAAGAAGATAGCCTGAAAATGTAGAATATTTCCAACTGCTCCCATAAATTGCTCCCCTGTGCAGACGTAACCATATCTGGTCTCCCTGGAAGAGCTGAAGAACTGCATGATTGCTAGCAGTTTCGTGGTCTGGAGCACCATCGTTGGCATAGGCTGACACCAAGACCTCCTCATTCTTCATGAGGTTGACGTACAGTGGCACATTCACTGCCAGCTTTAGCATGTGGAAAATGAAAACGTAAGTGCCATTCACCGGGCAACTGAATCTACCAAGCTGAAGATCAAACGTCTCTCCCAAGTTGTTCAGAAGAAGATCAAACACAATGGGCTGGTCTAAGGTTCCAGGGGCCAGGTTCGAGGTTCTGGCTGCTGAGAAGGCAACTCGCATCTGCAGAGGCAAGGGATAGACGTGTACTGGCAGTAGGGTGGCTGCGGGATTTGTCACTGGCACATCCACAGGGGTCATGCTGCGGGAGTCTCCTTGGCCAGAGTCAGCACTGTTGAAGGTTTCGTTGTCTCTTTCCGGGCTGCTCACCTGAGAAGAATCACTCCACCCTGCTGTTTTATTAGCAACAGTGAGTTTCTCATAATGAAGCAGTTAGCTTTGAACACAATATTTAACATTAGTCGGCTACTGAAACACAAAGAAACATTTTATAGTAAATTCCAAAACAAAAGCAATAAATGCAATTAAATTAAACTTTTCTAATTTTTCTGATAACAGATTTTGATAATACTATGTAAAGCTAGAAAGGACCTAGGTAATCTTGCCTTATGCTTTTTTTGAAGGTTAAGAAATGTGCCCCATAAAAGTTGGATAACTTACCACAACCAGTTAAGATAAGCAAAAACTAAAATCCAAGTTGGACACTTTTTACTTTATCTCTTAACCATAATTCTCACTCAACTAACTGCTTCTATTCAAAGTAGCTAATATAGAAGGACTCCAGAAAACTTTTATTACCTAAAGAAATTAACTTTCAGAACTACTGGCTAATACTCTTAAGTGAAATAAATTGGACACACACGTGTAAATACCCCATTGTTTCACTGGTATAAGAAACCAAAAGCATAGATAAGAACCAAAATGTATACTATATATTATAAAACAGGAAAAAAATGTTCAAATGGGAGAAGAACAAGGGAGATGGGAGGGCAAAAAGAAAGGAAAAAGTACAGAAAAAATGAGAAAAGAAAAAAAGAACTACTCGCTACTAGTCATTCAAAGATATTTTGATATGGTACCAAGCATCATGATGGACGCTTTGACTGACTGACTGACTGGGGGTTGAGACAGGGTCTTGCTCTGTAATTCAGGCAGGTTTTGAACTCACTATGTAGCCCACACTGCCTTCAAATTCACACCAATCCTCGTCCCTCAGCTTCCTGAGTGCCAGGATTACAGGTGTGCCCCACTACGCCCAGCAAATGCTTATTTCCAAATTAATGCAGCAAACAACGTGAACTGGGTGCGTCACCACGTCTAGCTAAAAAATGTTAATATCTTAAATACAAAACCAAGACATTGTGCAAATGTAATTAAAGGCATTGTGAATATAGGTTACTTTCTCAAAGTGAAAAAAATGTTTTCCTATGACAAAATTAGTTATCTTCATTCATTTTTTATTTTAGTTATACTGAATCTTTAATAGATGGTTTACATTTTTAAAAGTATTAGTAAGTATACTGCTTTTGCTTCAAGTCACTGTGTCTTTTTTTTTTTCAGACAGGGTATTACTATATAGTGCAGGATGGCCTTGAACTAACTCACTATATGGCCCAGGCTGGCCTCAAACTCACAGTGATCCTCCTTCCTCAGCCTCCCAAGTGCTGGGATTACAGGTGTGTGACACCACACCCAGCAAGTCACTGTGTTTTAATCATTGCTTATTTGAATATATCAATGGACTGACCTGAACATACCCATTACCATATTACCATAAAAACCACCACCTTGAAACACCACACGAAACTATATGAAGTCAGCCCAATGAATATATATCTAAGGTCAAATCATGCTCTGGTGTTTTTTAGAAAATACACACTTTAAATTGACACTTGGCTTCCCCAGCCTTCCTAGCAGTCTAATATCTCTTTTAAGTACTATACTCAAAATTAAAAAACCTCAAGATAAATGCTGAAAGCACTGCACTGGGGGGGAGGCTGACAGTGCAGAATGAACTACAAGTATGTTTTGGGTAAATAAACAGCACCTAATACTCCTTACCTCTTGAATTTGCCCGAGGACCACCAGGTGTCCCTCCTCGTTTATAGCACTGCTGGAAATTATCCTAAAATAAACACATGGATATTCACTTTAGTACCAAAAATGCAAAACAATAATTATTACACAGGATTATAGATTGGTAAGTGTGTAAGATTAAAGTCCCCCAGCAGGAGAAGCTCAGTTATTCCCAAATACCTGGAAAAACAAATCAAGGGCAACAGTGGCAATACTGCTTCACGTATTCATTAGCCTGACCAATTCAATATGAAACAGTAAAGCAGGAAGAGAGCACTACCTAAAGTTACACTACTAGCTAACGATGGAAACTCAGAAGTGCAGCACAGCCCTTTGCCTCTTGCTTCAATATAAAAGAACATAATAAAGCGAGAACAAGAACACAGGCTTCTTCATTCTTGTGCAATTTATAAATCAAACTGTGAAGACTAATAAAACTATGATGGGGTGGGGGGTCTTTTTGGGTTTTTGTTTTTGGATAGTGGAACCGAAAAAATTATATTGTGCAAATGCACTCGGTGCCTAAAAATATGACCCAAAATATTAAGAATAAAGGTTGGGGGGCAAGACTTCCAACTGATTCTTAAGTCTAAAGGAGAGCAGTCTCCATGCAATCTATAAAAAAACAGTGCAGGGAGATATGAGTAATAAAATCCCCACTCTAAATTCCCATTCTTCTTCTCAGTAGCAACTGTTAGCATCAACTGCTCTTTTGCTTTGCTTTCCCCTTCCTTCTCTTTCCTTTTTTTCTGGTAGTGGTGATCAAATCTAATGCCTCTGCACTGAGCTATAGTCCCAGATCTTTCATCATCATCATGATCATATTTATTTTTAAGTTTGAGACAAGGTCTAAGTCATTAAGTTGCCCAGGCTGGGTTTGAACTTATAATCCTCTTGTTCAGCCCCCAAAGTAATGAGATTACACGTATGCACCACTACATCAAGCTATTATTTGTTTCCTCAAAGAAATTTAAAGCATAACAAAATACTGCAATACTGTTAAGAACACATAGTTTCATTACTTATGTCTGTATTAATCAATACCTTCTCTTCACACACAGCCCCTGAGGTTCATGTACTAACAGCTGTTGTCTGCATGCCTGATACAGCCTCAGCACTGTGGTGCTAAGCACTTACTTGTATTAGTTCATTAATCCTCACAGTACCTCTTAGAGAAAGACTTACAATCTCTCAGATAGGTGAACAGCTAACAGATAAGTCAACCTCAAACAAATGAGGAACTAGAGTTCAGCAGATTAAAATACATACCCAAAGTCACACAAGGCAAGATAAGTGGTAAAACTAGGGGTCAAAGTCAAGTCACTTAAATTACAAGGTGTTCACTTCTTTTTCATACTGCCTCCATACAGACACTTATCCTGCCTCATACAGCTGTTAGCGCTTCAAGTACAGGTGCTTCAGATTACACCCTAGCCCAGTATGGTACCACACACAGATGCACTTCAGCTTGTGACAGGGCTGCTCTGATAAACCCATCATAAATTGAAAATATCAAGTCAAAATAGATTTAATACATCTAACCTTCCAAACACTGCAACTGAGCAATGCAGTATACTACAGTATGGTGGTTCACCCTCATGCCCACATGGATGACAGGATCACTGCAGAGTATCACATCACATGAAGAGCCCAGAAAAATCAAAATTCAAAATCTGAAGTAAGGTTTCTAATGTATGCATATCACTCTCATACCACCATAAAGTGAAAAAAATCATTAAGTCAAACTAGGACTGGTTTGGGGTCATCTATACACATTCAAAAGCTTGTAAAGCTCCAAATTTGAGAATACACGCAATGAGAGAAAGTTGCCAAGGTTTGTTAAGGTAGAATATCTAGCTGGGCATGGTGGCACATACTTGTAATCCCACCTGATTACAAGGTGGATCACTGCAAGTTTGAGGTCAATCTGTGCTACACGGTGAGTACAAGGCCAGCCTGAACTACACAGTGAGACCCTGTCTCAAAAAATAAAATATAAAAACTAAAGTGGAATGCCTAACATCCTATCAGTCTTTTACTAAAATCTGCTGACTCATTCAAATCAGAATAACCCCCCTAAAAATATTTGTAAAAAAAAACCTTTGATAGCCTAAATAGTTAGGCACACTAAGCTGGCTGAGGGCAATACTGTGGGGAGTGGCTGAGGCTGGAGTAAAGTTAAAGCCATGAGTTAGAGCTAAGAAACACATATTCCAATCTTAGTTCTCTCATTTACTTGTTGAGTGACCTTAGACAAGTTATTTAACTTCTGAACCCCAGTTTCTCTTTTTTTTTTTTTTTTTTTTCTGGTACTGGGAATCGAACTCACAACGTTACGCTTGCCAGGAAGGTGCTGTGCCGCTGAGCTAAATCCCCAGCCCCCCAGTTTCTCTTATAAGGTAGAGAAGTTGATATAAACAATATGTTAATAAAGTCCTTAACAGCTTTTCAATCCTATACTACCAGCATTTGACATTTGTCCTCCTTGAATGACTGGGAAAGCTTCCAACTCAACCCTCCATAGGACTTACTAGTAGTTCTAAACTGAGAGTGCACGTCTACAAAATAAATAATCACTCTTTTATAGTTTAAACACCAGCTTAACATCAATAGCTGTACCTCTATTCACCTATGACAACTATTCTTACTCACCCTTTGGGAATAAGGTGTTCCAGGGTATTCTTTAGCTTGGAACTGCAGCTGGCTATAATTTCCATTAGAAATGGAAGGAGGTCCTCTATAAGTATCAAAACCTATTAAATAAACAACTTACATAAAACAATGGGCAAAAGCATAATAAATGATAGTTCTAGAAGTTAAACTGATTCTATAACGCCATTGTTAGATTTGTACCTTAAGAAAAGCATACTAACATTGCTTCCCCAGTGAAATATGTATTTAGGAAATACGGCTGACTTCACATCAGCCAGGTGTAGAAAGTGACTGCTCCTGGAATGAGACAGGCTGGGTAGGGTGGCAGGGCATAGGGTGGAAGGTCACTGCTTAGGTAGCATTTCTGCTACTACCAAGCAGCGAGCAGAATACATATAATCATAACCAAAACATAAAAGATTATCGCTATTCTAGTCTCAAATTCTCTGTTCTTTCTTGTAGTATAAACTGGTAGACAAATAACTAGAAAAAAGTTTGTCTATTATGACATTTTAACAATTAACAAAAATTATTCAAATATGTAAACCAAAATTCACCCCTTGAATTTGCAAACAAGATGATCCTGTCTTTCTACTTCAGTAAGGCACAGAATTAATATGCTTTTTATGGTTTAAAAGTTAGTTCTGTTATAGGAATACTGAAAAATATTCTATGGATTACTAATAAAGAAATCTCTACTATAGTTCAAGTATCAATGACAAAAGGAGGGGCTGGGGATTTCGCTCAGCGGTGAAGTGCCTGCCTGGCAAGCGCAAGGTCATGAGTTCAATTCCTGGTACCGGAAGAAAAACAAAAAACAAAACAAAACAAAAAAGACAAAAGGAACAAAGTAAGGTAAAAATGGTTGAAGTCAGGGACATTTACAGACAAAACAACAAAACAATTCTGTAAAATTAAAATCAATTCAGGAAAAAAAAGTCAACTCAAACCATACCTTTGTAACCGCCAGGGGACCGATAGGAATTGGTGAGTAACCTCCCGCCACGCGCACAGCCTCGCACAGATCCCCGGCTGGTGACAAATGGCTGAGCAGGTCTAGGAAATACATTCGTCTGTGCTGGGTAAAAGGCAAGGCTACCATTGCTTACTTGAATAGTTCCATCAGGATGGTAATTTGCAGCTTAAGGAAACATTTTAGAGTCCAAAAGTTAAATGGTAAGAAAAGTTCAATACTCTTTATATTCAATAGTCAATAAATACCAAAACCTTTAATATATTGCTCGCTTTAAAAAAAGATTTATACATATGTGTATATTTGAAATAGAATATTATTCTGCCTTATAAAGGAAGGAAATTTTGACACATGCGGTAACACAAATGAACCTTAACACACTATGCTAAGTGAAATAAGGCATTTCTAAAAGGACAAATAAATGATGCAACTTATATAACGCTACACAGAGAAGTCAAATTCAGTCAAAGTGGAATGGTGGTTGCTAGCGTTAAAGAGAGTAGAGGGAACTAGTGTTAAATGGATATAAAGTTTTAGCTGGGAAAGATGAAAAAGTTCTGGAGAAGGTTGCGAACAGTTTGGATATAGTTAATGTCACAGAACTATCTACTTACAAACAGTTCAAATGGTCTTTTATGTTATATATATTTTCTACAATTTTAATAACAGGCTAAATAATCCAGATCTGGAAATCAAAGAAAATGAATCTTAACAGAAATCCTAACTGAGAAGGCAGAATGACAATCGGATCCTTCATGTACATCCTCTGCTCTGTATTTCAACATTACAGGTGAGAGCAGGACACTCAGTTCATGTGCTCAAGCAGAAGTTTTAGAAAACTTAACATGAGGTTAAAATACCAACACTACAAATCTAAATGCTTCTTAAATTAAGACATAAGTACAAAGTTGCCTATTCTTTCATGATTTATAGCAGCATGGAAGATCAAGTCTCTTGTCTCTACATAAAATAAGCATATTACATTGTATCATCAATATTAATAAATGTTTTATATAAGAGAGAAGGCAAAAACTGCCAGATAACCATCTGCAGTAAGGAGTAACAAAATAGTTGCAAAATCTTCACAAAAGCAGCTACCCAGTCTCCTATCAACCTTAATTACTATCTAGAATAATCAAAACAATGAGATTAATAAATACAGTCACAACAAGGTTAAATCGAGGTATCTAAATTCTACCTCTACAAAAGCCAAAATTAAAAGGTCAACGTTATTAAATATGGGGATAGATATCAGGTCCTTCTCAACACTTTGGGAACACGTGAAGAAATAATGCTTACTAGTCAGAGAAGAACTTGGAAGGTGTCAACTACAGATTTACTTTCCATTAAATTTCCATTAAATTAGCTGTTATCTACGTTTTCAAAATATCATATGCAAAGACCTTACCCGTCTCTTGAGATAGGACAGTTTGTTCTACATGTATAGCTGGCAGTTGGCACTGGGGTGGTGTTTGTGTACTTGCTGTAGTAAAACTCTGATTGTAACCAGGCGAATAAGGGGATTCCTTTAATTCTTGTTCTTTCCGTGGAGGCAGCGGTGCGTTAACGTTAAATACCTTGAAAGAGAAGAGAACACTCAGCCATCTGCCAAAGTTCATAAGGAACAGCCAGGGGGAACATCCAGCAAAATTCCACAATATTCTACAACTTCTATTTGATCGGCAGAAGTTCCAAGAGACATTTCTCCAAGAAGATAAATGGCTAGTAAACGTGAAAACAAGCTCAACCTCATTACTCATTCAGAAAATGCACATCCCAATCTCACTAAGATAGCACTTCATACCCATTAGGACAGGTATTCTCAAAAGACAGAAAATACATGGTAGCAAAGACGTGGAGAAACGTCTATCCCCATATTTAATAACGCTGACCTTTTAATTTTGGCTTTTGTAGAGATAGAATTTAGATACCTCGATTTAACCTTGTTGTGACTGTATTTATTAATCTCATTGTTTTGATTATTCTAGATAGTAATTAAGGTTGATAGGAGACTATGTAGCTGCTTTTGTGAAGATTTTGCAACTATTTTGTTACTCCTTTCTGCAGATAGTTATCTGGAAATTTTTGCCTTCTCTCACATAAAACATTTATTAATATTGACGATACAGTGTAAGATGCTTATTTTATGGAGAGACCCCTTTGTGAAAACAGTCTGGCAGCTCATCCAAAGGTTAAATACAAATTACTATACGATATATAGGTTTCACTTCCAGGTACATGCCCAAAATAACTGAAAGCACGGACTTGAAGAGATAGCGTACACAGCAACGTGATTTCTAATAGGTAAAAGGTAGAAACAACCCAAGTATTCATCAACAAATGAACAAACAAAATGAGGTACACATATAAAATGAAACATTATCCACAAGAAATGAACCTGACACATGCTACAATACAGCTGAACCTCAAAAATGTGCTGAATGACACAAACCTTATCAAAAGAGCAAGTACTGCATAATTTCACTTAAATGAGGTACCTAAAGTAGGCAAATTCATAGACAGAAATGGGGGACAGGCTGGGGAGGAAGAGATATCGGGAACTATTTAATGAGCACAGTATTTCTACTTGATATCATGAAAAAGTTCTGAAAATAGTGCAGATGGCTACACAACAGTGTGAACATATTTACTACCAACTGAATCACTCTCTGAGTGGTTAAATGTTGAATTTTATGCCTTGTACGTTTTACCCCAGGAAGAAACAATTCCCTTTGGTTCTCTACAGAAATGATATCGAAAAGTAAACACTACTGGGAAAAGAATTCTTTTTCAAAATTACAAATAAGTGAAATTTATCATTTACTGAATTTTCACCACATGGCAGGAAGTAACCTCACAGACCCTAGGCATCATTTATAAAGGAACATCTCTATTATTCTCTAGCTCCCTGCGCCTGCTCCATTCTTCCAAACAGCACACGGCACCTGATACAGTGTGCGTATATGAGTATTTGTCTCTCTAGCCCTCTCAGCTCCTTAATGATATTCAAGTTTCTTTGTTTTTATTTATGATATGAAAGTTTCTTGAGCATAAAGACTTTCCATTTTTTCATTACTACAACCCCAGTGATTAAAAGCAGTGGCTGGCTTCATAACTGCTTTTTTAACGAATGAATGAGAACCCACTTGAACTGGATAGGCTCCACACAGGCAGGGAAGACAGGGAGGCACGAGCGCAAGGTACATACTGTGACAAGAATATGTGAGCACAGGGGACTCATCTGGCAAGTTATACAGGACTTCAAAAGCCATTCAGTCCGACACACCCTGTAACGTGTAATGGGCCATTCTGTAATGGACCACTGTTCGCTTTTAATGAGGCACACCAAAAAGCCAGTAAATCCAATGTGGAATACTGCACAGAATGGACCATCAAGGAGAGAGAGAGGAAGCAAAGAAATGATATCCGAACTGGCCAAGCGCCACATGAGCCAGCCAGCGACCTCCATGTCTGAGTCCTCAGGCCCGTCTCCCTGCACTGTGCTGCTTCCTAAGCCCTCCAAAGCCCCTGCTGTGGAACAACAGCCCCATTAGGAAAGGCAGTTACTTTTGTGGATCCCCCCACAAAAAGGACTTCTTTATGCTAGTCTACGTTTTGAAAATAAACATAGAAATCTAGCTACAACATTATCTTTTTTATAAAGTTTTAAATTACAATTTGTAGAGGAATACATAATTCAAAGAATCACACAAATATTTGAACAAATCTTCAAGAAGCTGCATAAGATCAAGACCCAACCAAGTATGTGCCCTATATTTCCTAGGGAACTTCTTAGGGCACTATTAGTAATGATCAGTATTATAAAGCTGTTACTAGAAATCAGGTTTCTCACCCACCTGTTCCTCTAGGGAGGGGTTGCTGCCAGGGATTAAATCACCCACACATTTCATTTGCTTACTGTAAGTCCTCAGTTCTGAAAATAGTGCAGATGGCGAACAATGCTCTGGGAAAAAAACCCACTCAAAATTCTCGGGGCTCTAGCCTCTAGGTTTGTACTCCTCTGTTACCACCAATATTTCCACTGGACAAATGTAAATTCTACCAGCCTCGATATGTAAGAGTAATACAAAAGGCAAACTTGTCACAAAGTACTAATAACAGATGCAAGAGAAACAATGATTCTTAAGTGGAATAATGAACTGCAATCATCATTCCCACCTTCCATACTCACTGTCTGCATGGCTTGAAAGGGTGCTGTGTTAATGGTCATTGAACTACTGCTTGCAGGAGGCGACTGGAAGCCCTGTTCAGAGCCCTTTGACATGGGAGGACTTGAAGAAGCTAGTGAGGACTTCCCTAGCTTCACCAGTGGCTTGCTTGGAGGAACTGCTGCCTGAGGAGGAGAAATGCAGCATCAGCAATCACCTGCCATGTAACAGACGGTTAACTTACACTAAACCCCACACTGGCACAAGTCAGCAAGTTCTTTAGGGTGACACTGGACACAGGAATGCAAGAGAATAGCTTTTGCTTACAATTTCCAATGTCAACTGCTGAGGATGCACACTAGTATTTGCTGTGCACAGCTTGCTGACTAAGTGAAAGAGTTACGAAAAATCAGTCTAACAAATGAGGAGCTGAACTTTTTATGTGCACTGAGGTTTTTTTCAAACACTGGAAAGTGATTTCCCAGTTAAGAATCCAGTAATATTCCAATTCATACAGTGGAATTGGGTTAAGAAAAATCTTGGGTTAGTTCTTTAGAAAGTGTTCATTTTTCTCTATTTTAAAGACTTACTTTTCTCTGCTTTAAAGACTTATTAGTATATTTCTAAATCAGCAAAGAAAGAAAACTCACATTTACCTAATTTAATTAATACTTATCTAAGAGAACAGACAAGGTTTGACATAACAGATCATAATGCCAAGGGCTTCAAAAGATCTCATAAACCAATCCCAATCAAAATATGAAGCAGACAACTATGGTAACAATTACTTACTATTTTTGAAAATGAGAAAACAAATTATCTCAATTTAGACCAAGGAGCACCATAAAAATTATTATTTACGTTGACAGTTTTCTTACATCCTATAAAGAAGGATATATCCTCTATATATAATAGTTCAGCCCAAAATCAAACCTAATAGTTGCCAACTTGCATCCCAAAATTCATCTCAAGGATTTGCTCAATAACAAAAATTGTTAACTTAAAACTCAAAACCTAAAAAAAGATCAGTGCTAACATCAATACTATAAAAATTATCTTTCAATTGTACAAATATGAGATTTTTTTAAGTATTCCTTCATTGTAAACGTGAGAAACTTCACCTAATACTATGTGAAACTTTTCACGTTTTATATTAAAAATTGACATTTATTGCAGCAGATAAGGCAATACACTAATAAATCTATTTTTATAGCAAAACTATAAGAAAGTTACCTATGTAAGTTCCACAACCAAATATCTATAGAAAGTAGTGCACTAATAAATATAAATGTTATATCATTCAATTATCATGCTTGTTATTCATAAGATAAGCTGGTTCTTCTATTCTTTGAAACAGAGATCAAGACAATTGGTCTTTTATGACCTCAGGAGTCTCTGAGGTCATAAACTCTGTTTCAGATCCCAAAGAAGCCTGATCAGTAGAAACCAAGCTAGCATTTGAGCTACAAGTAACTGGAGAAGCAGCAGCCTAAACGCGGGAAGATGTAAAATATCGTGAAAGGCACATTTTGTTCACTTTGCATTTCTTGGGCCCTAGGCTTCCTAATGTTCTTCTTACTAGCATTCATTAGCGTCAAGCATTTCACAGTGAGCCTGCTCGGTACATACAATTATCCCTATCTTGTTGTCAACTACACAAAGGAAGATCAACTTGCCCGGAATCACACTAAAACTAAGTGTAAGAACAAAGTCTCAAACCCAGTAGTCTGCTACACTGCCGCTCTGGACTAGGGCACAAACTACCACTCTTACCCCACCTTCACCTGCCCAGACTCAGCCCCGGAAGCACAGCCAGGCTTCCAATGCGGCATCAACAGCAGGCACAGCTCTGCAAGGTCATCACAACTCCACTTCCACTCCACGACCCTTGTTGTTCCAAGAATGAACAGAAGGACATACCCTACCGAAAAGTGCCTGCCACCAAAATTCTAGTGAAAACTTAAAAGCTGGGAGAATGTACAAAACAAAAATTGAGAGCAAGCCCAGCAGACACTAAGGCTGTGAGGACGTGCCCCGCGAAGCACTCAGAGCAGCTGGGAAGGAAAGCTGTGGTACCACAGGCACTAACATATCACACGCAACGAAAGCTCCAGCAACAGCCGTCTAAGGTGACTATGACCCCAACCTTTTTATCTAAGTACTTCTGTGCGGTTTCCAGAGGCTCAAGCCGTATAATAGGTGAACTAAAACTAAAGTAGTAACCAAACAGCAGAGAAGCTACATACTCACAACCTTCTCAAGGGGCCTTCATGATACACTACTGCTTCAAAAGAAGAATGAGGACCAAACTTAAGAAAGAGCTTATGGGAGGAGAAATTTGAATTATTTCAGAACTTTTTGTATAGCTAAACAGGCGTAACTTTGATTCAACCAAAAATTTACAACTACTGTGAGATTGGAATGTTTCTAAAACTATGCCCTTCTTCTGGCTTCTCATTTAACCTGAGATATGTGCAAAAAATAAACGGCACTGGGTGCTAAATTAGAGTTCTTTGGGCCACTTGATACTTGAGCTCTACTAGACTTAAGTTTTACTTAAAAGGTCACTTTGAGGGGCTGGCGTGTAGCTTAGTGGAAAAGTCTCCTTAACATATGCAAGGCCTAGGGTTTGATTCTCAGCACCACAAAAAAAAAAAAATCTTAGTAACCAAAGAAGATAAAAACACATTATTTATATTTGTATTCATTTTCTAAATGAAACCCAACAGCTAGAGGAGATAAAATGGAACTTCTCTAGTGAAACAGTGCTAGAGCGAGGACACAGCAGAGCCCCACTGACACCCTACCAAATACCACTTACGACACTGCACCAGTGCTTATCCAACTACACATAAACCACTCTAACAGCAGCAGTTCTTGCTCTTTACACCAGATAAAGCAGTTGATCATTAGTGAATAAACATGGTATCTAAGACCAGTGGTTCCAAATATGGACAAACAGCTTCATCCAGGGAGCTTATTAAAAATATGACTCCTAAAAAAATAAAATTAAATTAAAAAATGAATCCTTAGAACAGGACTAAGTGCTGCTCTGGTAAGTCTAGGGTAATACCTATAAATACACATTTTTACTAACGTTATCAAGAAATTTTGATGCAGGCATCCTATAGGCCTGCACCTAAGAACTCCTATACACTAGGCAGATCAGTGGGTAGCAATGCAAGGCCTTCTGTAGAAACCCAACAGCTAGAGCAGATAAAATAGAACTTCTCTAGTAAAACAGTGCTAGAGTAGAGGATGCAGCAGAGTCCCACTGACACCCTACCAGACAAATACCATTTAGACACTGCACCAGCGCTTATCCAACTACACACAAACCACTATAAACAATTCTATTTACTCAGAAGTTTTTGGAGGGGAATATTACAACTGTTGAACCAACCTATCAAAATACTTAACTCCTGTCAGAGAAGATACAGTCAAGAAAATTGTGAGGGGCATCAAGAAAACTTTTTTTAAAGTAATCAACAGAAAGCCAGTGAAGCTTGAGCTACCATTAAGGGAAATGCAACATGGCATTCAGACATATCTATAACCTATTCCCTTTTTTTTGGTCTACAGAACTGGAGACTGAATCCAGGGCCTGCACACTGAACTACACCCCTAGCCCTGTTTTGGAGATAGGGTCTCACTAACACAACAAGTTGCCTAGGTTGGGCTAGAATTTGTGATCCTCCTACCTCAGCCTCCCAGAGTGCTGGAATACATGCATGCATCACCACACCTGGCTATCTCTTTGGATTTCTAAATTTACTCTGCGAAAATTAGTTCTTTAAAATGTAAAGTATTCACAGCATAGGGAAAGAACTGGTTAACCATGGACTAAAAACAATTAGTTTCTTTCTTCAGACCTTTTATAATACTGATACATTATACTAGATGATTTATGCAGCTCAGTAGCAAAGTAAGATTCTCAGACAATCTATCTCTGAATTCTTCAGACTTGCTCTTTCCTTACTAGAATGAGCTAACCTTCTCTATTATAACTGATGCTTTCAGCATAGTCACTAAAGAATCTTTTAGGGACCAGTTGTGTTTAAGCTAAAACCCTAGAACATTTAAATAATTTGGATACCTTAGAATCAGTCGGATCCTTCTTGCCAAAGCAAGAAGTCCTTCCCTGAATAACAAAGAAAAGTCAATGAAGATTAATCTGGAGAAGTTACCTGTAATGGCTCTTGAAGAAAATCACTTTGACTGGTCAGATTTTGTTCTGTAGATACTGCAGAAACTGAAATTAACCAAGCATTATGGAGGAAAGAGAAAAGTTCATGCATATTGACTGGGAAAAAACTAATGTTTACACTTCACATAAAAACTGCCAGCTAAAAGTCCAACATGCACTTCCTATAGGGACTTTAATGGCCAAAGAAGTCCATAAAGTCAGAAATACTAAGTTCACCTGTGATATTTGATGTTTTAAGGTTAAATGGGTGAAAACAGAATTTCAAGGCTTCTAAAAGAAAAGAAGTACGACTTTTTTCTTTCTTTTTGTCCTTTTGAGACAGGGTCTTGCTATGCATTTCAGGCTGGCCTTGAGCTCATTTTGTAGCCCAGGCTGGTCTTGAACTCGCAACGATCCTCCCACCTCAGCCTCCTGAGTGCTAAGAATTATGACTTTTAAAAATAATTGGGAAGGACCAATTTAGCTCAGCAGCACAGCACCTGCCTGGCAAGCACAAGGTCGTGAGTTCAATTCCTGGTACCGAAAGAAAAAAAAAATGGGAATAGTAGTCTAGAATATAAAGCATGAGTTATCACCGGGTGTGGTGGCGCACACCTATAATCCCAGCACTCAGGAGGCTGAGGCAGGAGGATTGTTGCAAGCTCAAGACCAGCCTGGGCTACAAAGTGAGCTCAAGACCAGCCTGAACTGCATTGCAAGACGCTGTCTCATAAAGACAATAAATAAATAAATAAATGAATGAATGAATGAATGAATGAATGAATAAATAAATAAATAAATAATAAAACTTGAGTTACCATGAGTAGTACTTAACCAGTACACAAGTTGCATAAGTTACAAAGTAAGCTATCTAAATTTCTCTCCCGTGATATGTATTAATGTGTTTTTCAATCACACAGCTTCCAGCTTGGGTTCCTGTTAATGTCCATCACTTCAGCTACTTTCTCTCTATTTACTCTCCTTACCTACACAGGAAGCACTGCGCCAGCCTTGCACTCTTGCGCACTGCCCACTACAACTGGGCTGCGGCTTTGGCTGTGTCACCCCTGCCTGAGAGAAACTGGCATGGAGTAAAAAGCTTGAGCCCGGAAGCATCAGACTGGATCAAGTCCAGGCTCCACTGTTGGTTACTGTGTTAATCTCACTTAGTCAGGATCCCAGAGCCTTAACACTGATCTGGAATCCAAAGGGGTCAAGCAAGATCTAGACAGAAATGACTCCAGGAGCAATATTAAAAACTCACAAAGAGCCGGGCGTAGTGGCACATGCCTTTAATCCCAGCACTCAGGAGGCTGAGGCAGGAGGATCATTGCAAGTTCGCGACCAGCCTGGGCGACAAAGTGAGCTCAAGGCCGGCCGGAACTGCATAGCGAGACCTTGTCTCAAAAAGACAAAAAAAAAAAAAAAAACCTCACAAAGACAGTATTGTACATTTGAGACTTTCTCCAAAATATACAAACAAGTCATTAAGCCCACTAAATTCTTAAAAGTTATGTATCCATCTGTAACTCTGATGGCCGATAGGTACAATTGGATTAAGAGAAACATATTTAGTTCAACGCCTAAGCTAGGCAGAGTAAGTGATTTGTAAAAGAAACAACTGCTCTAAAGCTGTTTGCGCTGTTTTGGGAACATTACATACCTACTGGGCTACCTGAAGAAGCTGAAGGCGGCTGTGATGATGGAATTGCACTTGAAGGTTTGTCAAAATCCAGAACAGATTCCTAAAATCAAAATTTTTAATAATGAATAGGACCAAAGATTACAGGATTCATTTTAAAAGCTATTACCTTCAAATTATTCACAGTGTTGGTATAGTATCTAGCTGATAACTATGTCAAGATGTTAAAAACAGTTCTTTATAGAAAAAGAAATCGAAGGGGCTGGGGATTAAGCTCAGCGGCACAGAACCTGCCTGGCAAGTGTGAGGTCATGAGTTCAACTCCTGGTACCAGAAAAAAACAAACAAGAAAAGAAAAAAAATAATCGAGTCAAAAATTCTACAAAATTAAAAATTTTTTAAATTTTTAATAATTTTTTTTTAAAAAAGAGTCAAAAATAAATTCTCAAGAAGCTATCCAAGCTAGAGATGCAGCTCAGTGTCAAGCATTTGCCTGGCTTATGTAAGGGTAATTTCCAACGTTGCAAAAAATAAAAAATAGGACCAGGGATATAGCTCAGACGCAGAGCGCCTGCCTGGCAAGTGTGAGGTCCTAAATTCGATTCCTGGTGCAAAAAAAAGCAACTGATATACCTTTAGGTGTGTCAAATATTAAAACTATAAGAGCAATTCTAAGGCCTGCTTTAGGAAAATTATTTCTGTCCTGAAGTCTTAAGCATAAGCATTAATCCTGGTCCAGTCTGAACGCTAAATTTTATTATACCGAACCAATGACAGGGCATAACTATTTTACCTCAACCACTCACTAGGCTCATGCTATTAAATATTTTCATAATGAGAATTCACTCCCTTCTCCTATCTATCTCATTTCTCTTAGAAAAATCTCCCCCGTTTTGCACACATAAGCTACACACATGCAAAGAGTACTGCCGTTCTTTATCTACAAAGAATCTGAAGTATGCACTTCCTTCATTTTGCGAGCAAGTTGATGGCTGGTGGGCAAATCATTTGCTACAGGTTATATGAGGTGCACTGCTTCTCTGCCTTTTCGCTAAGATCAAGAGTAGTATCTGTTCTTACCAGGTTATATGAGGTGGTAACTAGTAGGACTGGAATCTAAACCTAGGCCAAAATCCATACCTCAAGATCTTTCTACTAATTACAGCAGTCATTGATATTTTCCTACTAATCTATCCATAACTGTGTTAAGTTTGTAATGTTCCTATCCTATTTCATAATGTATGTTTATTATTATGTGTTTCTACAACAACCATTGAGAATAGTTAATGATTTTTCAATAGGTCACTCATGTATAGCTCTATTTATTTTCTTTAGAAGCCACTTTGAAGATACCAAAGTATAGCACAACAACTCTTGATAATCTCCTACCTCTTTTGTCTCTAACTCACTATTATTTGTCTATTTGTTTTCCTGAGAAACTATTTTGTAGATAATAATATGTAAAACGATAACCATTGATAATTTCCTACCATTTTGTCTGTAATTTGCTAAGTCCCCCCTATTATTATGTTATCCTTCTTTTATTCTTTAAAATAAAAAAAAAAGAAAAAAAAAAAAGATCTTTCTGCTAAACATAAACATCTTATCTGACAATGTCAGCCCTCAGTAATATCACACTACTCTAAATTCTCTAAGAGTCTCTATGACACAATTGAGTGTTTAGCTATTAGTTTAGCACTTGTTTACAATCTCCTATAGCTAGAATATAAACTCCCTGAAGGCAGCAAATCACTGATGGTATTTTTTTTTTTTTTGGTCTTTTTGAGACAGGTCTTGTTATGCAGTTCAGGCTGGCCTTGAGCTCACTTTGTAGCCCAGGCTGGCCTCGAACTCGCAACAATCCTCCTGCCTCAGCCTCCCAAGTGCTGGAATTACAGGCATGGGCCACCACGCCCAGCTCCCATCACTGATGATTTTTCTATACCGTGACACCTAGTAGACAAGCATGGAGTCGGTTCCCCAGTCTGAAGTCAACTGGTCTCTGCTCCCGACCTGCAGCAGAGACCACCTGAACACTGCCACTTTTTATATGTGTAACTCATCTCCTTACTCAGAACAAACTAAGGAAGCAGGGTTGTTAATCTCCATTTCATCAAAGAAAAAGGGCAGACAGTGACGTAATGTGCACCCATAAAGGGCTGGCAGAGCCAGGACTCACGCTGCTTCTGGGCAGCAGGGCCCACATTCTTAGCAGTTTCCCTGTAATGCTTCTGATCACAAGGTGTCAGCTCATGAGTATCATTTAAGATGCTTTTTTTATTGGCTCATACTTGCATAAAATTACAAGTTCCTTGAATCTGGGTCATCAGATCCTGCAGTTTTTCTTTCCTTAGTACTGGATCCTTTGGAAGGGCAGAGGAAGAACCTAGAGGCTGAGGCACGGGCTTAGGCACCTGTAAGACAAACCCAACACGTGTGAGAGTGCAACTCCAAGTTATCAGCCTGACTCAGGAAACTCAGGATACCACATCTCAAATCAAATAACAATGCTCATTTATCCCATTTATTACAGACCAAGAATTTTCACATAAATGCATTTTCTAAATAATTTAAGCAGGGCCGGGGATACAGCTCAGCAGCACAAGTGCCTGCCTGGCAAGTGCAAGGTCCTGAGTTCGATTCCCAGTACCTAAATAAATAAATAAATAAATAAATAATTTAAGCAAACTTTAAAAAGTTTCTCACCCCTTCAGAAAAATGTTAATAAGGATATGCTCTTTTTAAAGGGAAGGCTCAGAATGCAGGAATTACTATGTTCTCTGTGATAAGACACCACTGACCATGACACATAACAAAAACTTAATTTTTCCCCTCAAGGCAAAATTTACTACTATCACATTATACATCATCCTAATTTTAGAACACATCTGATTTCAGAAGCATTATGATATAATGTTTTACACACACATCCCTTATAATTGAGGAAATACTTTATTATATTTTATTAAAAGTTAAGTATACTCTTGAGGCTACTGATGTTTATGAGGTGGTTAGCTTTCACACTAAATTGCTTAAAAGTTCTCCACACTTTGAATTATACCTAATTAACACTTTACAGTTACTTCATTTGCTTTTTCTCAGTCCTGGGGTCTAAACCTAGTCCTTCACACTGAGTTTCACTCCAGCCCATTCATTCACTCATTCACAGACAGGGTCTCAGTAGTCACTAAGCTGCCCGGGGTTGGGCTCAATTTTGAATCTCCTGACTCAGCCTCCCACAGGGCTGGGATTACAGATGTGTACCACTGTGCTCAGCTTACAGTTACTTTTTAGAGCTGCCAGCATGCCCACCTTCAGCATGACTTCTCAGCTTTCTAATTCACTGAGAATTCATGCAGCTAAACTTGTCAAAGATGCCAGTAAGTTAATAAGACCCTAAGTGAATAAAGGGAGAGAAGTTGGAGCATTAGTGATTAATTTCATGTCATCTAGTCTTGGCTTTGAGCTCACTTTGCCCTGACCTATACTTAGTCACATTCCATATAGCTGAGATAGAAAACGGACAAACTGCATTTTACAGACATATGTCTGCTCAGTTACTGAAAGACTCCACAATGTCAATACAATGCTGTCTGAATTCAGTATGAGCTTAGTAGCCTTTTCCCAACTAAGCAGCCCTGGTTTTAAGTCCCATTTAACAAATAAAATGTTCGCAGTACTCTAGTATGGTAAAGGTTCAGCACTGATGTATGGAGAATTTCAAATCAGCTACTTTTCTAAAAGTAGCTTTATCGAGGTATTCAGTTGGGTTTTTAAACACTGTGTAAGTTTCTCAAAACTGCTATCAGACTACAACTACTGTCGTCTGATACCCAGGTAATGAAATAAAGCTGTCGTCTGAGACCCAGGTAATGAAATAAAGCTCCCAATCTACGAGAGGACCAGGAAAAGATAACACTAGCACTCAAAGAGGGGGAATAAGAACAAAGAACACAAAATTGAAATTGTCTCTCTGTAAGGTGGAATGAGTTACAGGCAGTTTATTTATGACATGAAGTTCTTTGTGCTCCCTAAGCACCATGAGCTCACACACTCCTGGAGGAGCGAAGACGGACACTCAGAAGTCTGTGGATAAAGTGGCTCCAGGAACAGAGAGGCTGCACAGGGGCAGGGCCCAGGGGCACGCTCACAGCTCTCGGCAGACTTCCTAGCAACCCACCACACTGTGAACAGCAGTAAGTATCTTATAACTTAGCAACAGGCAATACTCGTATAGCATCATATCCGAAGATTACTCACTGTAAGCCTCATCTTCCTACAGTAGACTGTCATCCACAGAAAAAGCCTTGTCTTTAAAACTAAACATCGTACTTCAAAACCTAACTACAAAATATTTAATGCCAAGTTCTTCTAGATCTAAAAATGTCCTATTTTAAAAGAGAAATACAGAACAAATTCAAATAGATCCCCAACACTAGAATATCTGCAATCATCCTGTGCCTTCTTTGTAAAAGTACAAACTAATCTGAGTAGCTACAAATAAGTGAAATACAGAAAAAAATGCAGGGGCTGGAGATTTAGCTCAGCGGCACAGCACCTGGCCTGGCAAGCGCAAGGTCGTGAGTTCGATTCCTGGTACCGGAAGAAAAACAAAACAAACAAACAACAACAACAACAACAAAAAAAAAAAAACAGAAAAAAATGCAACCTCTGCCAGAAGTAGTCACTCACGAGGCAGGTGGTGGCACCAAGTGCAATACAATGCAGTAAGTCTCCTGTCCTATGAAGCATTCACAGGGCTCGCCTGCTCACAGTACAATCTTGTCTGAACTAGCTGCCATTTGGATAACATATTGTATCATTAAAACTTTGGTATTAAACATTTTACAATTACAGCACAAAACTTTCAGGTTAAGCTCTAAGACATACTAGGTTAGCTTCCGATTTTCTAAAGAAAATAAGCTACTCATTAAAAAGTATGTACTACAAAGCAGGCATGGTAGCACACACTTATCATCTCAGCACTCTGGGAGGCTGAAGTAGGAAGATTTCAAAATTCAAGCCCAGCCTCGGCAACTCAGCAAGATCCTGCTTCACAATTTAAAGAAAAAGAAAATTAGAAGACTGAGATGTAGCTCAGCAACCAGGCCTGGGGCTCAATCCCCAATATTGGGAAAAAAAGTATATAACAAATCAAGTAGGGATTTTCCAAAAAACGAAGCAGAAAGAGAAGTGGGATGGGACCCCACCCTATGAAAGGCCTGCCCTGACGGTGCCCAGCCGAGCCCCCGCCCCACTGCAGTGGCTGTGCACCACTTTTTCTCGCAACACCTACAATAAATCACTTTCTCTTCACACTGGCCTTCTCAGACTCCTCTTCCTCTTTCTACACAGACAACCCCAGACCCCAGGCCACCACACATAACACTTTACTTTCACATGGATTTCATTGTGCTTTTTAAAGAGAACTAAAAAGCTACCATAAAGCAGATGAAGGCATCTACTCACATCTTTGGGCTCTGGTGTGAGCTTCCTGGGCAGCAGCTTCTCCTCTGGAATGAGGCTTGCTGCAGCGACTCCCCAGGACTTGGGAGAAATCTGAGGCTGTGGCGCTACGGAGTGTTTCTGACTCTCAGCACTGTGGCCCCAGGGTTCTGAAGTGGCCGGGGCCGGCTGCTTAGCATCCTGATCCTCGCACATGGGTGTGGTCCACTGCTTGCTGACATTCTGCTCAGTCTGCACAGGTGCCCAGGACTTTTGCGTGGGCTTCTTTGGATCCTGTTCCTTCTGCAGCTGAGCTGGCCAAGGCTTTGGTGTCTCCTTCTTCTGATCCTCTTTGGACTTCAGCGTTTCCTGCTTCCACTGGCTGGGAGACGGCTTGGGTTTGGAGATCTCCTGCTGCTTCTGCTCCTCCTGTAGAGTTGACCTGAGTTTTGGAATCTCTTGTTTTCTCTGTTCCAAGGAAACCACAGGCTTTGATACCTCCTGTTGCTTAATGGGAGACTTGAAAGATTCTTGTTTCTTCTCTTGACTATCAGATTCATTAAGCATATCCCAACATTTGGGGAGATTTGGTTTCCTAGCATAATCGGCTTCCCAAGTCTGCTCTTTGTCTTGTTTGTCTGAACAATCTACTTCTCTCATATAGCGTCTGTTAAGAAACTAAATAAAAAAAAAAAAAAAAAGAAACTAAATCAAAGAAATAACATGCCTAAGTCATAAATTTGTAGAAGTCCTTGAAAGTAATGTTCAACTCTCAATTTCAACCCTATTAGTATTCCTATATCCACTGGTCTAAGCCACTGCACTGCCATGAAACTTCTGTCCTTACTCCACTTGAAAAGACTGGCCTACTTCTTTGTCCTTTCCTTTTCCTCTATTACCTGAAACAGAACTTCCAAAGCAGCAATTTATGCTTGACTCACTTAGGACTACCAGGAAGTGCACATTATGGTACCACAACTGCCTGATATAATCCCTTTTACATAGGCTATTCTGCCTTTGCCAGTCTTAGGGCACCCCACACATACCTTCTCAACTCTCTTACAAGTTAAGGCAGAGGACTGCTAACTACAGGAAAGTACACTGCTTAGCAAACATAAAGGAAGGTATATACGCCTAGCAAAAGTAAATTTACGGAATGACCAGCCTTCACATTACTTCCCTCACAGCAACTCTACCATGTTTTTTCTGCTCCCATTCTTTCCAGCTGCCAAAAATTTCGGTCATTTCTAAAATACCCTCTTCTGGGATAAAATGAGTCAGTTCTAGAGAGCGCAAAATCCTGCCCATCTTTTTATTCTAACACAGGGGCCAAAACCACAATAGCTAACACTTGGGCAGTTATCACGTGCAGGCCCAAATTCTAAATAGTTCAAGTTAACTCCATCAATCCTCACAATAACCCTAGCGGCAGGTATTATTATTATCATCCTCACCTTATTTACAAGAGTAACAGGCACATCTGCGCTAACGATCTTGCCCCAGGTCTCTAAGCTAGTAAGCTGCAGAGCCAGGACTCACACTCAGGTTGCCTGGCTCTAGAGTCTCACATCCTAACCACAGCACTACATGAAAGCTGGAATGAACAAGGTCAGTGAATGAGCTTTCACTCTTACCTCCTGTGGTTGTATCTCTGGCTGTGTAAGTTCCGTAAGAGTCTCTGAAAAATTAAATAACCACTAGGTCATTTGAAAGAATATTAAATAACCAATGTTTCTCATATCAGTAAATATGATTTTACTTGATTACAACTGTAATTCATTCCAGCAGCATATTTTGGAGCAACAGAAAAATGATAACACAATAGTAAAGTATACTCTCAGTAGGAGTAATTCAAACTATTGTTTACTGATCCAAAGCATGTGAAGGACTAACGTTGTAGCTCAGTGGTAGAGCATTTGCCCAGCATGCAGTAGGCCCTAGGTTCAATCCCAGCACTGAAGTAGGAAGAAAAAGCATGTGGCTTGAGGCAAATTCAATGTACAGGCTTTTCCTACAGAAGATATTTTGCTCAAGTCAAGTTCAAGCTACAAGTTTATTTTTTATTGAAAAATCAAGGGTATTTCCCCCTACCCACAAATACAGCTTTATATTACAGTGGATTACAGCTCAGGTCTTTTGGGGTAACAATGAGTCATCTCAGCTTAGAAGAGGGGCTTTCTAGATCAGTTCAGGGTCAAGAGGGAGGGTAAAAGGAGACACTAAAGGAGTGAGGAGACACTAAAGCCCTGGACCTAGTAGTAGATGTAAAGGACAATAAACTTGGAAAATGTCTAGACACTTGCTTGTGGACACCAGAACCCTGCCTTCTTTACAATAAATGCAATTTCAAGAAAAAGGCAAAACTTTGTTTAAAATATTTCTTTCCCAAGAGAATGACCACTTGAGAAGTATGTTTCCTTCCCAAATTCTGCCAATTTTTCTCCCACCAGTATTCTAACTTTATATTCAGTCTACTATACTATTCTACTATACCTTACATTTAAACCACAATTTTAAATGGAATTATCCCACTGGTAGTTTAAAACAGATTCATTCAGGTTCCATAATTGTCTCATTTTAAACCTAAAATATAACCTAATGTTGCTATTAGGGTTCACTGTATAAGTCATGGCAATAAAGGTTGATGTTTTCTAAAGCTATGCTTATCTTGCACTAAGAAAACCATGCATATAGAACCTAACAAATTAGGACAAAGGCCATGCAAGCCCTTTCTTTCTTTTTTTTTTTTCCCCTTGAGGGGGGGTACTTGGAATCGAACTCAGGACCTCAGGTTTGCCAGGCAGATAATGTGCACTGAGCTAAATCCCTAGCCCAGAACCGAACAAATTAAAATAAGGCAATAATTTTAACATGACTGCTTAAAATTCAGCTACAAAAAATTTCAGAGATTACAACAAACCTGACTCTTTGATAGATTCAGTCTTCACTAATTGTTTTTTCATTTCTGATTGTATTAGCATTTCTTCTTCCAAAGATACTTCTTTTTCCTTAGCAGTTTTGGGAACTGGGATACTCTCAAAATAGCCTGAGTTCAGTAGTTTAGACAGCAGATCTTTCATGTGCTTATCTAATAAAGAGTGATTAAGACATGGTTGTCACATTATGGGCAAAGGAATACTAATTTTATGCTAGCTACAGTATGTCATTACAATTGGGGAGAATCAGAGTTGGACAGTACTGTGAAAAATAAACAGGCAGTCCATCCCTATTTTATGCTGGGTCAATATAAACTTGAAAGATTACAATATCAAAGCTTGGCAAATTACGTAAGTTTCTATGGGCCTCTCTTTCCACCATTTGAAAAATGGCTAAAAAGCAGAAATCCTCTTCAAAGACTCTACTGGCACTAATGCACACATTAGCATCTGTCCCACACACATCACAACTGCCAACTACTCTATGTTCCCCACTAGTTGAGGATTTGTTGAAATAAAGGATTGTTCCTCAAATGAAATCAGTATTTTGAACAATCTTTTAACTACTTATAAACTATAAAATTCTATGACTAAAATTTTACTCTATAGAGTTATGCTGTACGTCACTCCTAGCACATCACTATTAGATGAAGAAAAATCTTAAAGTGATGTCAAAGTGCTACACTACAAATAAGTCCAAATACTATTTCATTGTAAATGGCCAATAAAAACATAATTCCCAAACGAGGCAGAGCTCCCATACTTGATTTGGGTGTATTATTCTTTTCATAGGAATACTATGATATAGATTTGGTCTTTTTTTTTTCTTAATCAGCTTTGAGATATAGCTCAGAAGCACAAAATTCACTATGTTAAGTTTACAATTTTAACAATATAGTCATATTGCCACCACCAGAACCTAGATACAAAACATTTTCACCAGTCCAAAAAGTTCCCTCATGCCCCTTTGGCAATCAATTCCCTCCTTGAGCCCCTTGGTAACCAAGAACCTATCAACCCAGTTATGTCTTTTCTAGAATTTCACATAAATGAAATCATACAATATGTACTCATTTATTGTCTGGCTTCTTTCACTAAGCATGATTATTTTGAGATCCGTTTCATGCACAGGTAATTGATCTCTTTTTTTTGTTTTTTTTTTTGTTTTTTTTTTTTGGTTTTTCTCCGGTACTGGGAACCGAACTCACGACCTTGCACTTGCCAGGCAGGTGCTTTTGCCGCTGAGCTAAGTCCCCAGCCCCTGATCTCTTTTTTTATTGCTGAGCAGATTGCATGGTATGGCCATTCCAAATTTTGTTCATTATCAGTTGATCTGCATCTAGGTTGTGTATTCAACTGGGACTGTTAAAATAGAACTGGCATGAACATTCATGCATAAAAACCAATGTGAACATCTATTTTCACATCTCTTGGGTACTAGGAGAATAACTGCTTGGTATAATAAATGTACAATTTACTGATTTTTTTTGAGAAGTATGTCATCATGTTGCCCGTGCTGGCCTCAAACTCACAATCCTCCTCTCAAGTAGCAGCAACACATGCCATTTCACCTGGCTTTATTTTGCAAACTATTAGTATCAATTTGTATTCTAATGAAGAAAAAAAAAAATTTGAGACAAGATTCACTGTATTGTCTAGGGTGGCCTTGAACCCCTGGGCTCAAGGCTTAAGCAATCCTCCTGCCCCAGCCTCCTGAGCAACTGAGACTATACAGGTGCATGCTACAGTGCCTGACTCAAGAAATACATTTTCATTGTGATTTAAGCTTGGAATTAGAAATCTTCGTAGTTACAAATACTTGGATATCTTCTATAAGGGATGCAACTAGTAATAAGTACATTTATTAGTGTCTAGGGAGTTTTGATTATCCTAAGCCAGTACACAGAGCTATGTACTTCTTGTTTGGATACTTGTATTTGGTCATTTGAAATACTTTATTTAGGAAGCCAGAAGAACTCTCTCTAGACCATTTTCAAATCAAACAACAATGCTTCAATAGAGCCAAACCATTCCTATTTTCTTCTGCTGATCTGTTAAGCAAGCTTTGATATTCACAATGTATGAATTTAAGATTCTTAACTAGAACAGGTACTACCACTAAGAATGAAGACGCGAACCCCAAAATGATCAAGCTAGTGTTGAAGCCAGCTCTTGTTCCCAATCACATTGACTTGCCACTTCACAATTCTCCCTTAGCTCCATTTGAGCGAGCAGGACTACACAATAGCTGCTTTTAGCAGCACTAAACAAAGGGATCGGTCTCCCAATGAACGTGGCATTGTCAGACATGTAAGTTCTGATGGACTGACACAGTGTAGACCCTCAATGGCATACTAAACTTCCAGACATAAAGTTTAGTATTACTGCATAAGTCCAGAGTAGAAGAAACTCACATGTCGTTCCTACCACTGCTTTCTCACTACCTTCCAAAAGGTCCCAAAAGTACAAGGATGACTGCTCCATCTGGTCTTCAACACTGACAAGGAAAAGCAGCAGCAGAACAAAGTGGCTTTAGAAGTACGTATGCACACAGGGAGCAGTACAATGTATGCGATACAACCCATTAACAGTCAAAGCATTCACGCATCCACTTTCCCCTTTTCGGAAACAAGAAGCAGAAATTCATAAAAGGTAATTAAATGCCAATTTGTGGATTTCATCAGGTAAGAATTTTTCCTTAAAATAAACATGTCACCAAATACAACTATCAAGAATAGACCAAGAATTTAGAGCTGCTAATGCAGCATCATTTCTTAGTTATCAAGTCTGTATCCTAGAGAAAACCAAAGTATAATGGAAACATTAAGAACTGCATTTAACTTTAAAGACAGCAGCTTATTTTTTTTCAATAACCTTTTGCTGACATTTTACATATTAAAGCTAGGTGTGTTCCCTGCACACATCAAAGTAAGAAGGAAGACGGGTGCTGATGGAGTACACTATTAACACACAGCTACCCATAGGTAATTTAGCTTGATTAGGCTTCTTCTGGTTTTTTTTGGTTTTACCTTTTTCTGACAGGCTCTTACTATGTAGCCCAGGCAGGCCTCCAACTCACAACAATCCTCCTGCCTCAGCCTCCCAAGTGTTGGGATTACAGGTGTGCACCACCACGCCCGACTGATTAGGCTTCTTCTGATAAACGGCCATTTTTTTTTTTTTTTGAAGGGATAGTTGACACAAGGTGTCACTATGCAGTCCAGGCTGACCTTGAACTAATTAAGTAGCCAGCTTGGTCATGAACTCGCAGTCCTCCTGTCTCAGCCTCCAACATACTAGAATTACAGGTATGCACTACCACAGCTGGCTGAGGCTGACTTCTAATACATTTGACTCTGCTTTAATATGGCTAGTAAATACAAAAGTTAGAACAACCTGCCTTTAACCTAGCAAAAGTATAAAGATCTACTGTATTTGTTAACTGATTGACTCAGGTAACAAAATAAATGGCTCACTATAGGGGAAAAAATTAAGTAGCACCAGTTATATGACTTTTATTTTAAATCATCATCTAAGTACTTATTCAAAGCATAAGAACAAGTAATTCTCAGTTTGAAAGTTTAATACTGACCAAGTTGAATTTTATATATCTCCACTTAAGCGCAGCAGAAATAAGAAGGCAAAGACACATACTGAAAAGGTTTTAGGAATATAGTTATACTGTAGTTAATACCTGCATAGAATTAAAAATACCTTGATGATCAGGTATTTTTAAAATTAGTGCTACAATAAGGAAATGTGTTCTCATTCAAATTCACTTTCTTTCTAGGAAATCTATTAAACCTTTTAGAGCATCCCCTATAGAATCAAGTCAATGTTTTAATTTTATATATATATATGTGTGTGTGTATATATGTATATATACATAACTTAAATGCTATATGTTCTGTTTCAAAAAATCTTTTCATTAGCTTACCTCAGACTTTCATTTCTTTCAGGGCAGGTCAGTTTTGAAAATTTAATGAGGTAGTCAAGTTCTTTTGAAGGCAAATACACTGCACCATTCAAGCCCCCTCTGAAGTCTTTTTGTACATGTTCCTGTGTCACATTCTGTAATACATACTGAACTTGAAGTATAGTTCGAAGCTTTTTCTTCTCAGCCTCAAGTTTTAGCATGTGCTCCCTCCTCTGGGCCTTTTTCTGCGCTTTCAGTAGCTGTTAAAACAAATGCAGGTTGTCAACTCTCCACACCTATGTCAGCAATTCACGTTACAAAATCTAGTCCCCAATAGCTGAGATTAGATGATAAACCTCATGACTGTCCAACTGACCAGGCTGTGTGGCCCTAATCTCCTTTTCCATCTAAAGAAATCACTGAGTACTGAACCAAGTTGTCTCAAGTCATCAGAGGGAAGGGAGTCCAAACCTCTGATTCCTAACTCCAGGCTATATGCTGTACAGCCAGTACCTCCAATTCACCACATTCTGTGAGAAGCAAAGGACCAATCAGTGCTGTCCATACTAACCTCAAGATTTTACTCTTCTTATTTAAGTGTATCAAGTCTTTCTAGGCCAAATATTTTAAGAAAATTATATTTGAGTTTTAGTGACAGTTTTTTTAATTTCCAAGAAGAAAATATTTAAACTAAAATGGTCAGTTTGCAAATAACCAAAAAAGCATAAGGAATTAAAAACCTAACAAATATAAAATGTCTTGCAAATATTAATACAAGGTGAGCATCCCTAACTCAAGAATCCAAAATCTAAAATGCTCCCAATCCGAAATTTATCGAGCACCAACATAGTATCACAAATGGAAAAAATCTCACACATGATCTCATGTGATGGGTCACAATCAAAATGCAGACACCCTAAAAATAGTGGATAAAATTACCTGCCAGCTACACGTATAAGAAACATAAATGAATTTCACACTTAAGAATTGGATCCTTAACCCATTCCTGCCAGCTCAAACCATGGATGGTACATGCATGACTGACCCACCGGGCAGCTGTACTAACCAATGGGACTGTCCTGTGCCACCCAATAGGACAGTCAGGCATGCGTCATCAGGGGTTCAGAGCCAACTGGCAGCAAGACATACAGGTGACAGCCCTATCATGAACATGTTAAAGGAGAATCAGAGGTTTTGGTCTTTGTGTCTTCAGTTCTGGTGTGAACCCAGTGCCTTACATAAAAGATTATTTTATAATTAATGGAACTTAAACTTCCCCTCAAATAATCTGTGTGTAATAATCTGTAGTAGGGCCTGGCCCTACTCCAAACCTCAGAACTACACTACCTTAAATCTAACAATAATATACACATCCAGGATGGCTTGCCATTATCCAGAAGGTACATCTGTTCCCACTTACCTAACAGAGAGATGTCCACTTACAGTTTTTTTATTGTAGTATTTCCAGTGTATCGCATATTTTCCAACATATGAAGATTAAAAGAACAACAAAATAAAAAACCTAAGATTTCTTCTATACATGCATTATTGATATGGAATCAGTATTTGAAACTCTTAAAGATGTTCATAAATCCTAATGGATTTGGACCAAGAGATGGGAGTAAAACCTCAGGAAAAATATTCACTATGGCATATTTAATATCTTTACAGATGCAGTAGAAGCAACTTAATAAATTTGACTTGCATTATAATCAGAGACAGGAGATAATGGGTGGTGATAAAATTCCTACAATTCCACAATGAAATAACACACATTAAATAACTGATACCTTATATAAAATGTCTCACATTTGGATAGCATTTCCCTTAAGATTCCACAAATCTGAAAACCTAGCTATTCTCAACCTCCCGTTCCCAGAAGGATACTGGCAGAAGATAGATGGTAACTAGCACTGTTATTAGACGCTGATATTTTTCTCAAGGTCAGTGGTTAAACTGGTTTTATAAAAAACAAAACACACTCACGTCTTGGCTCAATCCAGAAAAGGTTTTCTGAAGCTCCTTGGCAAATTCCAAATTATGTAGCACTTCTTCATACTTCTCTACTGCTTCCTACCAAATATGGTAAGAAAACCAAGTCAAAATAAGTGTTCTCTAAATACAGGCAAATTTCAAACTTTATGAACTATATTTACTATACATACAAACAAAAGTACTTACCTAAAGAAAAAAAAGGACAGAAACTATCAATACAATTGTAAAATTTCAACTTTAATCCTAGAAATTTATTTATTTATTTTTTGAGACAGTCTCTCACTATATAGCCCAGGCTGGCCTTGAACTCATGGTGATGCTCCTGCCTCAGCTTCCTGAGTGCTGGGATTACAGGCATTTTCCACCATGCCTGGCTAGAAATTTAATTTTTATATTAGAAATCCAAGCCCAAATTTTGCCCTATCTATAAAGTTTATGATCAGAGAACAGCATATTTTAAGTGCAGTAAGACAGTAGGATTATTTTTTGTTTGTTTGTTTTTTAATTTTAAAAATAAAAGGAGGAAAATATTAACAGACAGACAACACTTTACAAAATAGCAAAGGAACACTACAGACAGTACAGAGTTACAAACAAAGTGGTAGGGAATTAACAATGCTTGTTGTATTATATATTGATATCTTCAAAGTGATGACAATAGGATTATTTTGTCAGTATTCATCAACTGTATCTATTAAACAAGCAGTACAGTGAATATAACACAGATGAACAAGTTACTACAAAGACATTTACATTGGGATGAAAAATATACTTTTTGATTGAAATGTTGGATTTTAATAGGAAACTAATGATTTTTATTAAACTTTATGTGTAAAAAATAATAAACAATTATTTTAACTGAAATAACAAGCAATGTCCTAGAGGAAATTAAAGGAGCAAGATTTTTTAAGACTTCACAGTGAACAAAATTGATAATTAGAGAAGGTATAGGTTGTTCACTGGAATTTAACTCAATCTTATTCGGAGTTGATCTGATACAGAACAAGACAGGAACTTGCCCAACTACACGAAGACCTATGAAGCCTCAGTAACTAAAGCAGCATAGTATTTCCCAGGTATCACCTGAAGACATGAAAAATATATCCACATACAGGTAAGTATGGGACCTTATACAGGAAGACAGTTCTGAACAATCCAAAATAAAAATAATTCAAGTATCCAGCTGATAAATGTGTCCCCACATGGAATACTAGTCACAATGAAAAGAAACGAAATAGTGATACAGACTGTAACATGGACAAAGCGCAAGAACATCACGGTAAGAAAAGAGGTCAGATGCAGCTGGGTGTAATGGCACAAACCTATAATCCCAGGACTCTAGGAGGCTGAGGTAGGACGATCTCAAATTTAAGCCCAGTATGGGCAACTCAGTGAGACTCTGTCTCAAAATAAAAAAGCAAAGAGGGCTGGGGGTGTAGCTCAATGTGAAGACCCTAGGTTCAACCCCCAGTATCATTAAAAAAAAAAAAAAAAAAGTAAAAGACTTTCTTTTATATGAAATGTCCAGAAAAGACAAAAATACAAAGATAGAAATAAACCACAGGGCCGGGGATATAGCTCAGCAGCACAGTGCTTGCCTAGCAAGTGCAAGGTCCTGAGTTTGATTCCCAGTACCGGAGGGAGGGGGCAGAGCACAAAAAGGGAAGTTTAGGAGGTGACAGAAATGTTTTAAAACTGGACTGTGGTGATAACAGTATAACTACAAATTTACCATAAATCACTGAATTATACACATATACTGATGGGTTTATTTTATGGTATGTACACAGTATCTCAATAAAGCCTGGAAAAAAGCCTGGTAATACTAAACCTCTATAAAAGTTTAGAGAGACAGGAACTCCTATGCCCTTTCATTATGAGCCTAACAACTGTTATTGTTAGGGTCTCCTCCCAAAGCCTCATGCCCTCCGAGGACCTCTGAAAGGCGGCTGGAGTACAGGGCTTCAAGCTGACTTGCTGTGAGCCTGGTCAGAAGACACATGCCCCCAGACCTATGGCCTGGAAGGGCATCCCTCACTCCCTGTTTCCTGGCCTCCATGGTGTGAACAGCTCCCTCCTCTGTCATGTCTCTCTGCCATGCCATCCTGCCTTGTTACAGACTATGAACCAAAAACATGAGCCAGCACACGCTGCATCTTGCTCAGCTCTCGTGTTTGGGGAGAGGGACAGCAGGAAGACAAAGACATAAAGACAGAGGAAAGCTGAGGTCAGATACAGCCCTCTCTCTCCTGAGGGGAGGAAAGGAACTGCCCAAGAACTGTAGAGCCTTTATTTAGACAGCCGGAAGGTGATGTCAATTTCAACCTCTGCCTAGGAATGGTCTGGAAACTGGAATAGCTAGTTTACATGGCTGGAGGCGCTCTGCCTCTTCTCCAGCAGGCTTTGTCTTAGCCCCCTAAGTATGACTGATTTCCAGCTTCAGCTACTCCCTACATCAATAAGTCTGTCCTCCTTTAAGTTGTAGGTGTCAGATACTGCGTTCCAATGATGAGAAATGACTTAAGACAATTAGACTGAAAGCAAAGCTGGGTGCAGTAGAACATGCCTGTAATCTCAGCTACTCAGGAGGCTGAGACAGGCAGACTGCAAGTTCCAGTCCAGCCTGGGCAATGTAGCAAGGCCTTATCTCAAAATAAAATTTTTTAAAAGTTCTGGGGATGTAGCTCAATGATAGAGCAGTTGCCTAGCATATGTGAGGCCCTTAGTTCAATACACACACACACACACACACACACACACACACACACACACAGGAAAAAGAAAAAGGGACAGGAGTTGAGTCACAGTTACAGGAAGGAGTTTCAACAGTATGGACAATGTATTATTTGAGCTGAAAGGTGGGTGTATTATTTGAGCTGAAAGGTGGTTTGCCTTACTGTGCATTGTAACTTACATGCAGTATTGTGTTTGAACCATACAGTTCATTACAGAAAAAGGAGGCAGGTTTTCCAGCTATAGAAACAAGAATTGGGCAGACAATATAACCACAGTATGGAGTCCTCAGAGGAATGGAACACTAGAGAGAAATATACAGCTACTCTCAAAAGGAATTACCTGACTCAAGAAAACCAGCATCAGGTGGGAACTAACTACTTCCTGTCACCTGAATGTGCACCAAGGGCTTCTTTCTTTTGTGCAGGAGTCTTTCTACCTGTGCTCCTGGGTTTTATGCAATTCTTTCTTCGTAGGAAACCTTCATCTGTGATTCTCTTTAATGTCTTCTAACAGTTTCTCCCTCTCTATTGATGCTTTTTTTGTTTGTTTGTTTTTTTCCAGTACCGGGAATCGAACTCACGACCTTGCACTTTGCCAGGCAGGCACTGTGCCGCTGAGCTAAATCCCCAGCCCCTCTATTGATGTTTAAATCAGCATTTTAAATGTCCAAATCGGGAAGGGGATATAGCTCAGTGGTGTAAGCACCTGCCTGGCAAGCACAAGGTCCCGAGTTCAATTCCCAGTACCAGAAAAAAAAAAAAAAAAAAAAAAAAGTCCAAATCATTCTTAACCTCAAAAAGAAAGACCTAAAACTCTCTGGCCAACCACTTCTTTCAAGTCTCAGCTCAATTTCCTCTTCAGACCTCACCATCCTGGATTCTGACTCTACCACTCCACCAGAAGTATTGTAGCTGCAGTCAGAGATGTCAATCCCATCCTTTAAAGCTATGGAGCCTTGAATGCTCTCATCTACTTGACTTCTAAGCAGCCTTCAACACAGAGGTACCATCCTGCTTTAAAAATATCTCTGAGCTTTCCCTTCATTCATCTTCCATTTGTCTCCCATTTCTCCAGATGGTTATTTACAACAATATTTCTATTAACTTCTCTCACCTCAGTTTTAACATCCTGTAAAACAGGCATAATAGGACCTGATACACAGATGTTACACAATTTAAATGACTTAATACTTATAAAGCACTCAGAGTCATGACTGACCCTCAGTAAGTGTGCTATATTTTTAGCAATTATTACATTGACCTACACTTCAGTTCTGCTACCTATACCCTTGCCAAAGATAGACTTGCCTTTTCTAATGGGTCCTCTAGCAGACATACAGATGATAAATCTCTACACCAGTACTGCCACTTTCTAGAGCGTTCAATGATAATAGCCTGCCGTGGCATGCACACCATAGGTTCACTACCACTGCAATTTTATGCTCCAAGGTCATATACTTAAATACTTACCAGACACAAGCCTTAATATCTCACAGGGACTTTAAAATCAGTGGTTGAAAACTGAGCTCTGTAGTCTACCCCAATGCATCCCATTCTCCCACAGCCCTTTATCCCCCAGCATTTCCAAGCTCAAAAAATGCTTCTGCCATCCACTGAGTCATTCCAGGCTGAAACCACCTCCAGCCCTCCTCTCTGCTCAGGGCCTTTATACAGCTAACATCTGCCTCGTCTTCCCGTCCTCTTCTCTAAGTACCATTCCTCTTTGAAGTCCAACAGAAGTATTTCCTTCCCAGGGAAGCCGTCCTCACTCTCCAGACCAGGTTAGGTCCCTGACTACCATCCCTTCTCATCCTGTACCTCACCTTAATGTCATTCTATAATGTCTTTATTACTTTTCTCGTTGCTAAGGCAAAATACCCAACACCCATAGTTAGAGGAGATGTTTATTCAGCTCACAGTCTGTATAGGTTTCAGTCCAGTAGGCTGGCTCCAAGGGAGCATGGCACGGCAAAGGAGAAACAGCTCATGGCATGGCAGGCAGAAAGTATTGAACCAATAACAGCAACCTGCCTTCTTTCTGTCCCTTTACTCCATCCTGGCTACCAGCCTATTGACTGGTGCCATCCATACCCAGGTAGGGCTTCCATCATCCACAACCTTAATCCACATTCACACATCCTAACCCAGTCACTTCTAAAAAGCTCCATGTGAGTGCCTGATTTTTTGGGGGGACATCTAGACACAAGCCGTAACATTCTGCCTCTGGCCCCCAAAAGACTCATGTGCACCCCTTTATGCAAAAAGTATTTAGTCCATCTCTTAAGAGTTGCTAGCTGAGCATGGTGATGCACACCTGTAATCCCGGCAAGCAGAAGGCTGAGG